AAGAAGTTTCTCTCGCTTCCCCACAGAAAATCCTGCAAGGTCAAAACCATTAGCACACACAAAATGCTTTTTGTTCAAGATAACTTGAACTAATGACATTGCCTCATCATCTAAATAGCTGTTTGGACATAGCGAATTGAACATAAAATCTACTTAAGAGTTTAACACCTGTCTACACTTCACAGAAAGCAAGAAAGGACATGTTATCCCATAAAAATTCAACTGAATTTCCGAAGAAACAAAAAGCAGAGAAGCACCCCCTTTCAGCACTTTAGGAAGTTTATTTTTACTGAATTACAATGTGATGAAATTTTTGCTTTGTTTTTTTTCTCCCAACCACAATTCATAATCAGCATTTAATACAAAAACACTTTAACAACTTTGAAAAGCTGAGCATTTTAGATTTGAAAGAGATGTGAATCATTGTGTGTATAACCCTAAACTACTGCCCTTGTACAGAGGTACTTTAATAAATTATATATGTTTCATAAAGAGAACCTATATCCTATCTTCATACAAATATTTTGTATAGCTATTCATTTTTGCAGTAGTAGTTGCTCTGTAACTTTTTGCATAAGTGTAGATTTTCAGAAATTGCTGATTACTGAAAAATGTATTTGAATGACATGATTAGAGGAAATAGGGCAAAACACAAAATTGCAAAGACTACCTCACTGCACCACTTAGTCTCTTAGAAATAAGATTTTGAAATATTATTGTGCAACAGTTCCAGAAATTCAAGTAGCTTGCTGTCTCTGAAGCTTAAGATCCTGAGAATTGTCTGAACAATTCAATGAGAAATTACTCATATAGTTATTTCTGAATAAAAAGTAAAAACCAGGTATGTAAAGTTCTAATCCCATGGGGTTTTTTAGATCTGAAGCTTATGCCCCTAACATTCTATACTTTTCTCAAAACAGAAGTGTTTTCTGTTGTAATTAAAAAACAGCTAAATAAAATTATGTTAAATCACATCCCAAAGGGTACAAAGCATCAATCATTTCTGATATCCCAATGGGGGTTGTTATTTTCCTACCCTTCTCATACTTTGACTTTCAATTTGCCCTGGTTTTCCAAAACAAGTTCAGATAGAAATCAGCTAGAAAAAGGAAACCTGAAAGACAAAAATGGAACGGGTATTTAGAGACATTTTAAGAATGTTGATTTTAAGATATCAACTGTAGTAGCTCTAATTTCTACTGTAACAAAGAGCTTGAGAACTAACTTTAGACAATTGCTTTTTTCTTACTTCACTGATATCCTTTTCTTTTTAAGATCCAAATAAGGTTTAAAAATGCTATCAAAATGATCTAAAAAGCAGCTTTACAAATGCATTTCTAACCAAAAGCAAACTGGAGCCTTAATATGGCATCTGAAGACACACTAGTAGGATGCCAGGTTTTGCCTTACTTTCTCCAAAGGAATCTTCCATGGAAAGAAGTATGTCCATGCAAACCTACACAAGAACTGAAGCCTTCTTCCACAATAGATACAATCATTACAGAACATTCAATCACAATTCTATTTCTATCAGGTAAGTTAACAAGAAATTGTAATTAAGTCAGTCCTTTAAGAATATGCATTTTATTTAGGTACATAAAGCAATATCCACAAGGCAATTTTATATTAAAAATATTCAGCAGCCACTTGAAAATTAGTTACAAAATAAATTTAATGTACAAAATACCTTAGGAGTATACAGTCTGAACACCAGAAGTAGTATGTCTATGTAGTTTAATATTATCTTTTTAATCTCCATATGCAAATACAGACACAAGTACTTTGCAATCCTAATACGTAAATTCCAAAACAAGTAACACAATTAACCCATGTTAGACAAAGATACACACTACCTGCAAAATGGGGGGGAAAAGTTTTATACATACATCAATAAAATAAGCTCACTGTGTTAAGCATAAAATAGACAGATTTAGTTAACAAGAATTCTAACGTTCATTAGGCAGAAACACTTCAGTGCAAAGGCCACAGGCTTCTTACACAAAAACGCCATATACCATAGTATCATGCAGTATTCTAAGACAATTAAACCTGTCGCTAATGACACAAACCTGGTTCTCAGTAAGGAAATTAAGGAATAATTAAGGAAATTATTAAAATACCTGTTTCATTTAAAAAGCAAATATAGTAACACATTACCTTTTGTTTATAAAAACAATACCGTAAAATTTTCCAAGCATGGAAATAAATAATCTTTGCTGAAAAATAATTGGAATTCAGGTTTATCCACCACTTAGGCACCTCTGCAGTGTTCAGCCTGCAGATTTGTACTAATTCAAGGCTCACTTCAGGATTCAGGATTGCAAACTGAAGAAAAATCCCACCCCTACTCCTTATACACTGAACAGCATGTTTTGCTTCTTCAAGATCACTAACAACGAGACAAATGCAAATGAAAAAGTATTTATATATGAAAATCTAGCTACCCAACAAGATCCAAAGTTGTTTATTAAGGTATCAATCCCACAGTAAGATCCACGATAAAGATATAATGCTGATGGCCTTTAGCTTCAGTCACTTGTTCGAAGTTTAATCTGCATGAAACCTATTGCAAAACTGAGCTCCAAGTACTACACATTGCCACCTACTACTTGTACATACTTTCCAATGGAATCCACAAGACATACATTTAGGTGTATGTCCAGTTCAGGCTCTAAAATTACTAAAATTCTAAGAAGTTTTATGCAAAGAAGAGCAGCAAGGGGAATGAGAAAACAGACCAAAACCAAAGAGAAGTTCAACAAGAATAAGGGAAAAGATTTCGAGGGAAAACCAAAGTATTGAATGAAAATTTTTTAAAAATGCATGTATTGGAAACCTCTACCTACCTCAAGAGTATTTGGAGCATAAGAAAGCAAAAACACCTAACAATATACCAGGCATGACGATGGCAAACTTTGTACTAATATTTTACTTTTAGAAATTAGAATTTCTCTACTAGAAGAATACACACAATTTTGGAAAAACTGAACTTTAATTATAAATTCTCCAAATAGGACATTTTGCTTCAGTGGGAAAAATAGACTTGGACTTTTAAGCAATGGGAAGTTAATATTTGGACTAACTACAGAGAAATAGATCGCCAAAAAGCATTTCATAGTGTTCAAAAAGCAGAATTTGCTATTAAGACTAATTAGCAAAACAACCAGTATACAATCAGTATCAGCCAGGCTTCTATAGGAAGTCTTCTGAGGAAATAAATCAATTACGCTCCTGCTCATGAACTTATCATATCACAGTATGTACACTGGATTGTATCATTTACACTGCAATGCTTTAAGGCACTTAAAATAGGTAAGGATACAGATGGCTAGATTAACATGTCAACTAGAACATAAACGCTGCAGCACTGTCATCATATAAAACTTTTATTAGTAAAGGTAAGAAACATTAACTTCATTCAAGAGGTCAGAGGTCGCACTGATCACAGTCCTAAATGACAATAGCATCAACTAGACAAACAAGCAAAATATACAGAATATGAAATTTGTACCTGAGAGCATTGGAACATGTTTTATTTTTATTTAGAAACCAAACTGTAGTGCAATCTGAAGTCTGGAATAAAACTTAAAGTTTTTGTCTTCTTTTTGATGCTACATGCTCAACAAAAATTAGATGAAAACTAGATGAGAGTTTTATCTACTGTTCCATACTAGCTGCCAAGTTTAGCATGAATAAGTGTATGGCAGTATAAAAACAAACGTATTTTTCTAGTTGCAGCAGTACCTTTATTGCACTTATTGCCGTTCAGGTTCTAAAATACTGACATCGACACTGGAAATATATTAAAAGTAGTAATGTGTACTAAAAAGAAAGTTGAAACATACATGCAGTTACTAATTTGACTAACAGGGACACAAGAGTCTAGTAATTATCAGCGAAAAAAATAAGTCCAGAATGTCCTGATTCTGATCTTTCATATAAAGATTCAGAGTAACAGCAATGGGTGCAAACAGTAGAAGAGAATACATTTCCATTACTAAAGGAAGCTTTCTTCAAAACAGACAAAAGGCAGACACAAACAGCACTTAACGCTTTGCCTGATTTTTTTTTCCATTGAGCAAAGACTCTCATGCTAAAGTTGAAAGAATTGTTACTACAATACTTTTCTGAAAAACTTGAGAATAAACCATAGAATCCTAGTGAAACTTCTCATTAAATACATGCAACATGTATATACCTACAAAATAGCTGTTCTAAAATTCTGAGTATCACATTTTGACAGCTGATTAGAGAGTGAATGGGGGCAGGCACACAATTTTAATTGCATGCTCCCCTACAAATTTGGTCCTATCAAAAACTATACATGTCCTATCACAATTAAAACTGTCAAAACCTGAGGTTAGTGAGGCTTTTAAAAAAATAAAGCTATTTCTGTTGTAATATTGTAATCAGGATAAAGATAGAAGAGAATAGAGACATTGACTAAAAATACCAATTACAAGACTGGCAGTTTAATACCGTAACTTACCAGAAAATCTAACTTCAAGAATATTTAACAAAACAGTCATAATATAAACTGAGGTTCCCGCTCCCCAAATGATGCACCACATAGTAAAACTAAATTACTTTACAAAATAATAATTCAGTGTTCTTCCCAATGAACTGTATCAATACCTAGAGAGATGTTTCAAGATGTCTAATGGTGTTTATAGAATTTTGTACGTGCAATCTCTATATACTAAATTTCAAGACTTTGCAAAAGTTAAAAATGTTAAATTGTCAGTGAAAATTAGGCAAAAATAAAGATATTCAGTGCAACAGCTTAAAAGTCCACATACAAATTTGTTACCAAACACTGAGAACTGTAATATGTCAATTAAAAAAATAAAAAAAATTCAATTCTGGATTATAAATAGGTCCCATATAGTTAGTTGCGTTTTTTTTAATATACCAAGATATAAACACTGATTCTTCCCCTCCCACCCCCCCCCCCCCCACCACCCCTCC